GGCTGCAGACAGGGCGATACAATCAACTTGGATTTCTTTTTCGGGTAATTTTAGTGATCAGGTCTGTGTTTTGAGCACTTCCCTCGAGTGGGTCCTCACAAACGAACGAGACCCGCACCCGTCGCAGGTGCGAGGCTGCGGTGCCCCGGTGTCTGGTGCCCCGCCGAGGGCCCGGCTGAGCGGGCGGGATGCCGGGGCCCCGGGCACCCCCGAGGCAGCACCGGGGACCCGCACCGCTGTGCCCGGCCGCGGGCAGCTGCGGGAGCACACCGGGAGGGAGCAGAAAGGGGCTTTGCCGCGCTGGCACCACAAGAGGATTTAGGTGGTTTTCCAAAATTCAACTAATTAAACCCCGCGCGCTAACGTAAGGGCCAGTATCTCGAGTTCGGTGTACCTGTCTCACCTCTTGACAGCCCTGGCAGCGATGGGCTGCGCGGAGGGCTGGCACCCGCGGCCCCGCCGCGTACCCCACGCCCGTGGCGGGGCTCTCTGGGCAGCAAAGCGCGCATTGCTGGGGCCGGGATGGGGCGGGGGCCCAGCGGCGCTGCCCACCGCTAAAGTTTGCCAAGTCAGCTCCTCTCCTGGAATTGTCCTCGGAGGGGCGGCGGGGAGGAGGGGAGCGGGACCCCCTCCCCGAGCGGCCCATGGCAGGCAGGGCGCCTCCAGCGCCAGGGAAAAGCCGCGCAGTGCCGGACCGGGCCGGGAGAGCGGATGCGCGCTGGGGTGCGCCCCCCTCCGCCAGAAGTCGCTCAACTTCTGCCTTGGAGCGCTGGCCCCGCCGCCGGGAAAGGCTCTCTGCTGCTGCCAGGGTGGAGGGGCAGGCTTTGGCTCAGCGGGGCCGGGCAGAGGGGCCGAGGCACGAGCACCCAGGACAGAGGGCGGCACATCGTGGGGCGCCGCCCGGGGGCCCGTCCCGCATCCCGGGCGCTGCGGGCCCTGACACATCTCCTGCCACATAACGGCGAGCGCAACTCGCGGCCGCCTCTGAACTGTTGCAAAACAAATCCCGGTGCGCTCCCGGGGCTGGCGAGAAGGTGGCGGAGCGCAGCGCCAGAGCCCCGAGCCCCCCGGCTGCCCCCGCCGGCCCGACACCCCCCAGGCCGCAGCTGATGGGGGGCCCGGGGCGAGCGAGGGGCGAGCGCGCCTTGGGCCAAGCGCTAATTTGGTGTGTACGCTTAAGGCGGCCATCTGAGGGCTGGGTAGCAACGAGGGGAAAGGGGTGTATTCGCGACTGGAAGATTTAGGTTGTTGCTAGGATGTGAGAACAAAAAATCTTCAATAAGTCGGGGAGGGGGGAGGACGGGGCAGAGGGGGAGGAAGGGGGGTTACAAGGTTTGTCACAGGGAAAAGTGCAGACATCTGCTGGAACTTCCATATCTAAGCTGTTCATTTACAGGAGCCAACTTCTGAAATCTCCACAATTAGATCTGCATTGTTCTTTCTCAACAACACTGCCTAGAAAGAAAAGGTCTTCTCTGTCGGGGCCAATCCAACGAAGCGTTTGACGTTATTAAATAATAAAGCGATTGTGATTTACATTGTTGTTCAGAAAAAGGGCCAATTATCCACTGTTATGTTGCCATAAAGATCATATTAACTCGAATTAGTAATCAAACAATATGCTAGCGTTAAAAGTATAGAGAGGACAACGCGACTGGTCTTGTTGCATCCTCACTTTTTCTTGTAAAACCAGAAGCATAAATACACTTGAAAGAGGCGCAGAAACTTCATCCTTAACGGGGAAAAAGCGAAAGAGGTACCAGCGTTTGTGATTAATGGTCCTCTGTGTTGACTGTTCTCAATTAATTCAAAGCCACCCAAATCTCATATTGATTTTTCTGTTTACAAATTAATTCTTCTTTCGAATATCACGGGAAATGTTCCACGGTTCTCCGAGAACCAGGACGATTTTTTAAATGTAAAGTCTCTTAGGATTTTGATTTTGGGGTGCTTTTTGTTTGTTTTTCATTTTGTTTTGAGTTTGGGATTTTTTCTTTTCGGAGTAACGTTTTCTAAAGGCGTCTGAGTTTCAAGCAAAGACGAACCTCACCACCACCAAAACGCAAACCCAGCCGCATCCCTGCACTCCAGCAAATTTCCTCTGCCATAATCAAATCATTATTTTTATTAAAGCAGTTATTAGGTTTATAACTCATTTGCCACTTAAATTTGTGCAACCAACCAAGGCGATCTAAATAGGTTGGAGCTGCCCCTTGGGTCCGGGGTGTGAGCGGTAGAAGGAGGATTAACCATGGGTGTGTGCAGCAGGAGGACACAAAGGCTGTCCGGTGCGCGGGGAGCAGCGGCGGGGCGCAGCCCCTTCCCGGGCGGGGCTGGCTCCCCCCGGCCCCGGCAGGGACCGCCACCCCCGGCCCAGCTCCCCTGCGTTTGTTTCTGAGCTGCCGCGGGGCCAAGGCTGGGGCTGGGCAGCTACAACTTGTTGGCAGTCAATAAGGCGCTGTCAGGTGATGATGCTCCGGCGCGGTGGAAACGTCCCGAACGAAGTGGAAACGAGACGTTTTTCATACAGGATTATCGATGCGATATGGTACGGTGTGATATGACGATATGATACAGCAGCATCGATCTCTTGTCTCCTATGCAGACGAGGTCCATTGTTTGTGCGCGGGATGACAGGATCTGCCCCCTGGAAACGTGCTGCAAGCGCCCAGCGGCACCTGACTGCTGCTTCTAATGTCATTTATTGCCAACACGTTTTGTTACCGGCTGGGGGTGGGGGCTCCTCGGAGCTCAGGTAATAACCGGGTAGCTGTCAGCTTCTCCCGTTTAGCACTACTCAGGCAAGAATGGCTTTGCCAAACTGTTCCAGGAGCTGATGCTATTTGTTACCACGATTAGGGGAAAAAAGGAACATTCACAGTAACGTGAGTTTCTATAAGCAAACGCCGAGCAATTTTCCTCGGCGCAATGCATCAGCAAGTATATCCAAAAGAGCTTAATCTACTTCTTGCAGGTTAGGTGCAAGAGAAATCAGCAAGGGCTGCTCCGGGATGCCATGAAAATCCCGGTTCATTGGCTTGGCCGCGATAGGACGAGGCACATCAAATCGACGCGGAGAGGGACAGAATCAATCAGTCCTCTTGGCTGAGGAGTGAGCCCTCGCCCTGGAAATAATTTCGAATAAAACTTGTGTAACCAAGTGTAACCTAGCTTACTCTGAGCAGATCGTCGAGAGGGTAAAAAAAAAAAAAAAAAAAAAAAAAAAAAAAAAAAAAAAAAAAAAAAGTTAAAAAAATATTATGGAAATAAGCCAATAAAACAATGTGGACCGAATTAATAAGACTGCGAATTTTGTATCCATGTATAAGGATAATATATTAAGCCAAAAAGGAGACAGGTTATCTCTAAACAGGATTAAAATGCGTTCGTGTATAGGATTAGACCATCTCATCCATTTAAAAACTGTCTCTCCTCAGAACACTTTATTATATATATAAAAAAACAAACAGCAAAAAACTTTCCCGTTAGAAGCACTTGGGAAATGTGTTTTATTAATCGAGAGCTTTTTTTTTTTTGCAATCAAATGTAACTGATGGCCCTGAATAAGCCGCCTTGTTAGGAAACGGGCCATTTTTTAAAACCTGTGATCAAAACAGACCTGTCTTCAGAGAGAGCACAGCAGATTTAAATGTTGGTCAAAAGGAGTCACAACTGTTCATTAAAAGCAAACCCTAACTAGTGCTAATGTATAGCCATTTTGTGAGCTCAGGACTGTAGAAAGAGGCGAAAAAAAGTCTGAGAGTGTGAGCTGATGCCGTGCTGGCTGGCAGTGTGTGGTCTATTGTAGGGAATGTGCTTTTTCCACTGAACAGAGAGCCCCCCTCTTTTATTCCCCAGCTCTACTGCACCTGCACTGGATCAGGGAGCTACTGCCATTCACCACATCAACAGAGAAGACATCTCTGACAGCACTCAATTCATTACATTTCTTCCTGCTTTTCAAACCAACGCACAAAAAAAAAAAAAAAAAAAAAAAA